AAGCTTAAACTTTATTCCTAAAACTATAAGCTAGGAAAATTGGAAGAAAGCTGAGAAATATTTCCGTCGACATCCCATAGTCTACACATTGAGACGTACCGTTAAACAAAATAAACGGCAATCCTGGAGGAACTATGTATCGAAAATTAACTCCCGCACACACATTTTCAAGCCATGGTACATGCTTCAAAAGATTAAGTGCAAATAATCCATATTTGGAGTTTACCATCTCAAAGATGGTAAGACACTATTAACAACTAAATCTGCCAATGCTCACAAGCTTGGTCAAACCTTGGCAACTCATTCCTCATTTTCAAACTATAATCCTCAATTTCAGAGGTTTCAAAAACAGCAGGAAAAGAAACAAGTACATTTTTACTGTGGTAATGGTGAGGACTATAATGAAACATTTTCACTCCATGAGTTACAAACTGCCCTAGTGCAAGCTCATGACACTGCAGCAGGAGCCGACAACATTCACTATCAGCTCCTGAAACACTTGCCCGATTCATATTTAGAAACATTACTTGATATATTTGTTGAAATATGGACAACCGGAAATGTCCCTCCTTCGAGGAGCAATGCTATTACGATACCTATGCCAAAGCCTGGACGGTACAATACAGATCCATTCAATTACCGACCAATATCATTAACTAGCTGTATTTGAAAAAAACATGGAGCGCATGGTCAACAATCGATTAGTCTGGTACATGGAGAGCAATAACCTCCTGAGTGACATCCAGCGCGGTTTCCGAAAAAACAGAAGTACCATTGATCATTTGGTGCTTTCAGAATCATTTATAAAAAATTCAAGTGTCAACAAACAACATACTGTATCAATCTTTTCGGCCGCGAGAAGGCATATGACACAACGTGGAAACATGGCATTTTAAAAGATTTGCCTGAATTCGGATTTCGGGGCAGATTACCTCAGGTCATATCTGATTGTTTAAACAACAGACAATTTCAAGTAGGAGTGGGCTGTACCTTGTCTGATCATTTTGCTCAAGATCAGGGTGTCACTCAAAGCAGCATACTATAAGTCGCACATTTCTGCATCCATATTAATAGTCTTACTAATGTATAAAACAATTGCGGTGATGGTTCACTTTTTGGACGATTTCAAATTTCTTGTCGTGGTAAGAATATGATATAAGTTTGTTTGTTTGTTGTTTAACGCCGCACTCAGCAATATGACGGCGGTCTGTAAATAATCGAGTCTTGACCAGACAATCCAGTGATTGATATCATGAGCAATGGGAAACGATGACATGCAGCGAGCCTGACACCCCGATCCCGTTAGTCGCCTCTTACGACAAGCATAGTCTCCTTTTACGGCAAGTATGGACTGCTGAAGACCTTTTCTACCCCAGGTCTTCACGGGTCGGTAACAATATGAATACAATAGAAAGACAGCTACAGCTCTGTTTTAACAAAATTTAAAAATTGGCCAATAGGCTCTACCTTGTCTGATCATTTCGACCAAGGTCAGGGCGTCCCTTAAGGCACAGTATTATCAGTCACACTTTTCAGCATCAAAATTAATAGTGTCACTAAAGTATTAAATAATAACGTTGATGGTTCACTTTTGGTGGACGATTTTAACATTTCTTGTCGTCGAAATAATATGAATACAATAGAAAGACAGCTACAGCTCTGTCTTAACAAAATTAAAAAATTGGCCAACGAAAATGGCTTCAAATTTTCTTAATCAAAAAACAAACTGTATTCACTTTTGTCGTAAATATAAACCTCACATGGATCCAAATTTATTTTTAGATGGGACTTCTATCAAGGTAGTAGAGGAGGCCAAATTCCTGGGCCTCATATTTGACCGTCATCTCACATTCTTACCACACATCAAATATCTAAAGGCAAAGTGCCTGAAGGCTCTCGACTTGTTAAAGGTTCCTAGTTGGGAAGGGATAAGACAACCCTCGACCATTGTCCATGGTGGAGCTTGCAAAAGCAATTTAGAAAAAATAGACACAATCCACCACCAAGACCCAAAGCTCTATATTGGAACTTTATGACCTCTCGCGTGGTGAGTTTGTATGTTGAGGCTGATGAACCTTCACTCGAACATGATGACTGTGTTGATTTTTCCATCACAAGGGATAAATATTTCAAATCATCAATGACGGATCTTTTTAATAGAATCAATTCTCATTTTCTTATTGGCTTTTTAAAAGAAATTGAACTTATTGATAAATTTTGAATTGTGTAAATAGCTAATTTTTATATTTGTAATGTATAATATGTAACTTAGATTGTTAGTGGCTATATCCTCAAAGGGGGTTGAAGTAGCGTAAAATTATTGTCCCCATGAGAGGATATGTAAGACCACATCATTCAAAGTACATTTATTCTTACATCGGTTTCAACGTAGTATATATGTTTATTTTAACTGTTGGCTTAATTGCATCCCATCACCAGCAGCTGAAGTGTTGGTGTAAATCCTGCTAGGGAGGTAGCAGGTAGCAAAAGTAATGTAAGTCCCCACGGTCCCTAGTGAGGTGGCCTAACTTTGGTTGCTGGTGATCTATAGCCCATTTTTATATTGTATTATTGATTGAAAATGTATTCTTTTAACTGTTCTCAACTAGTTTTAAAATCGAAACTGTGATACTCTAGTTATCTTACTGTCCATCGTTGACAGCTTTTAAATTAAATCAAAATATAACTATTATAACTGTTTCGTCACGATATGGCTGAAATTTCACTCACTCACTCACTCACTCGAACATGAAACTTTCACTGCAATACATTTACTAAATTGCTTTTAAATAAAACAAATCCAGCATGAAATTGCTTTCCACCGTCAATATGAAAAACTTTTTCAAACTCTGTCAAACCTGGTTCAACCACTTGGAATCAGAATTCAACCACACATTACTGTAGCTAAAATAGATATACATATTACATCATCTTACCGTCTTCTGTCTTACCTACTTTGTCTTCTCCTCCCTGGCAGATGGTGAAGCCAGAAGTAGACCTAACTCTAACCAAACTCAAAAATTCCGAAACAAATCATTCGGTTTATCAACAAGCACACCACCAATAGTGAACAAAATATAATTCTCACAGATCCATTTTTACAGACGAGTCCAAGGGTGGTGACAAAGTTGCCAAAGATATATTAACAGCTTTAACCTATATTAAACCAAAAAACATTTCTAAAACATCATCTTTTCAGATTCATTGTCATGCCTTCAGCCACTTAAAAGTGTCTCCTCAAATCCTTCACTGATCTTTCTACTGGCCAATATGACATCGTCTCTTGCTGGTTACCAAGTCATGTAGGCATAACAGGTACCTTAAAAGCCGATGCTGCTGCTAAAGCAGCTCTTGACAAACCGGACTCTGCAATTGCAAGGGATTCATGTCAAATATCTCTTTTCAGTGTAAGCAGACATCTCAATTTAAGTTACTTGAAAAAAAATGGTCTGTATAAAAAATAAATAAAATATGTATTTGAATAATAAATTGCTTGTTTTTATATTTTGTGTGGTGCTATTATCAACTGACATTATTGAGGTAAAAGAACCGTAGAATACTTGTCCCCCCGTGTGAGAAGTAATGCCTATCATCATTGATGTAACTAACATCTACAAGTGTGTTTAAGCCAACTCATTCTTGAATATATTTTAATATTGGCTAATATTGTGCACAACCACCAATAGCTAAAGTGATGACGTAAAGCCTGCTGGAAGCTGAGGTACCGTAAATCCCCACGATCCTCTGCGAGCTGGCCTAGCTTTGGTTATTGGTGGCCTATAGACCGTGTTTTAAACTGTATAATTGATATGGTTATACCCAAATGTGTTTGATGGAATTTGTTTTTAAATATTACTTTGCACAAATGACTCACTTGTCAATATGTGGGCGGTCGGGTAGCCTAGTGGTAAAAGCGTTCGCACGCCACGCCCAAGAACCGGGTTCGATTACCGACATGGGTACAATGTGTGAAGCCCATTTCTGGTGTCCCCCGCCGTGATATTGCTGGAATATTGCTAAAAGCGGCGTAAAACCACACTCACTCACTCACTGTCAATATGTGAACTAGGTCTCGTCGCTATATGTCTGACATAATGCTGATGCGACGTTCAATTTTAACTCACTCACTCACTATAAAGTCTGAATTCACGTCTCGATATGACTGAAATATTGCCGATGTGACGTTAAATAATAACTCACTCTACCGCACATATCTTTTTACAAGATTGAATACCTTGATTTATTAAAAGTTGTTTCAAATTCCTACATATTGAAATTTGACATAATATATTAATGCGCACATTTTTGAATAATTAGAAACCGTTTGTGGGAAAGGAACATACATATTTAGAATGCAACATTGACATTGATAAAAGTTACCAGGCTTGTGTGTTTTGGAACAATAATATTGTTCGCCATGGATCGCCAAATATAAAGTTACTACACAGCACAGGATATTAACCATCCCAAATCACACTTGCGTAATGACCTCTCTCTTTCTTGTTCATATAAATAAGACATGTGGCTCAAATACCGTTTGCATCCAATGGCTTTTGATCCTGCGGAGAACCCTTCCCAATGTATATATGCTTAGATATCTTGATGTTAACGTTTGGGCTTTAACGTATGGTAATTTGCATATTTTAGATTTGGTTACCTTTAAATCGTCAAATATTTTGTCATATTTGAGCTTGATAGTTTGTCCTTCCATGGAATAATTTGTATGGAACGAGGTTTTGTGGATGATTTATATTCCCTTGTCTTGGTAAAAACATACATATTGTCGATGGTAAATTACACTTACAATGTAATACTGAAATTAGGCGTAAATATAATCCGTAAATGGTCTCTTGCAAATAGCTCAAAAGTTTCAACAGCTACGATTAGCTTGATCTAATTAATAGATTAATTGGACTTTGGATGCTGAGGACATATTTACTATGGAATTGTCGAGAAGAGTGCACTGTCTGAATGTAATATACTTGCTTTTTATCTTGCAGCGTCTTTTGCGTGTATCAAAGCATTTTTCACGCTGAAGAGAGACATACGTTACTACATCATCCAGGTGTACGTTCCAAGTATCCTCATCGTTGTCCTCTCTTGGGTATCCTTTTGGCTTGATCTCGAGTCCATACCTGCTCGCGTCTCACTCGGCGTCCTAACGGTACTCACCCTTAACACACATGGTTCAAATGTTCAAGCCAGTCTCCCCAAGGTGTCATACATCAAGGCCATTGATGTATGGACTGTCACCTGTCTTGTGTTTGTATTTTCAGCCTTATTGGAGTTTGCATATGTGAATGTTTTAACCAGAAGGGGAGAAAAGGAATTGCTCTCTAGGCGGAAAAATAATTGTTTCTGTGAACAGAAAATAACGGTGAGTATTTTTTCTTTGTTTTGACAATTAACTATTTTTGGTTTGATTTTCTTACTGCCATAACTCTGTTCTTGGTTAAATGTTGTATACATTGAATACTAGCGTTTAAAAGGATATACATTTATAAGATGGAAGAAGGAATGTCTACGGTTTCTTGAAGTTTCCAGTTTTTCCAGTGATTGATATTGATGTGGAGAAATGATATTATGAATCACTAAGTTACTAAGTCACTGAGCCTAAATATCGGAGCCGTTAAGTCGCCTTAAATGGTTGGATATGTGACTTCAAGCGTAAGCTATTGGGAAGTAACTTATAAATACTAGTAAAGTGGTTGTTGGTCCTGGTATTTTTCTGGATAATGCTGATGTCGCATACTGCCTCAGCTTCGTGTTGATGTCTGAAGAGTTCTTCAGAAATCATATGTAACCGTAGTGACAAAAACATCGGAGACACTTTCAGGTCGATATCCACCAGATTAAAAGAAAACAAGACCTATTTTGTCAAATCTGATATGAAATCTGTCCTCTCGGAACCCCTCAACAACAATCCTGATCACCATGTTTCCTGGCAAGAACGAATTTTCCAAACCAACTTTAATCACTGGCAAAAGCTAGAGGACACTTCAAGAAACGACAGACAGCAAGAGACACAAGTCAGCCATTAAGAGGGGCCGTGCTCTACCTTCCCAGGGATAGCCAATCATTACCTACAAATGAACTCATTGGCGGTTACGTTGTGACACTATTACCCTACTCCCACATGCTGAACATGACTCAACTGATGAAGGAGCAAACTAAAAAGATCTCTGAAGCGTCTTTTTAAACATAAATGAAATTGTAGTCTGTAAAAAGTGTCATGAATTCATAGTGTTGTGGTAATTCCATGCATTGCCACCTCGCACATATACCTATGTGTAAAGAAAATATTACTATATTAAAGTATTTCTCGCTGATTGTACCATCACTTGGCTCAGTTCACCGGAATACAGTATAACGTCTGAAGGATACTCCCTTGCACTTCACTGCGGGGGTCCTGTCAAGTACATGTACACATAAGTGACGCACATTGGGCAAGAAAGAAACACACAGAGAGTATCGGACCATGTCACGCCATGTTACAGAACAATGGGTTAGACTCATGTGTAACAACAACAGTCCATATGCAAAACCAGCAAAATGTGATGCACACTGTGACGAAGAAATCACATGGGACAAGAACTGTTTGTGACCTCTAATGCTTATATATGTCGTCTGACCGACTCAATAGCTCAGTCCATGATTCTGATTAGGGTGTTTCGTCTACAAGAGTCTGTTGCAATTGCTGGCGATTTAGTGGACGTCAGTATGCACGGCGACCAAAATCATCCCAATGATTATAAATAGAACTTAATCTGGTGAACATGCCAACCACGGTAGGACATTGACATTGTTCTATCCAGGAAATGCAGTACGGACACGAGCCAATTGTGGAAATGTCATGTACAGTTGCTCAGCACTGATAGTCCGGAGGTTTGAAGCCCCAAAAAGGGCAGAATCGTGCACTTTATGTTTGTCACACGATACGTAATAGTGGAAGCAGAAATGACAGAACCCCCCCAAAAAGTTAAAGAAAATAGTTTATTAAAAAGAGAAAACACAATTACATAATTCCCACTTACATCTAATTACCTGATAACACTGCACTACTAATACTAATACTAAGACTAAACAGTAAAACTACCAACTAAACTACACACTAACCTATAATCCAATACCACTAATTACATATTACATATCTACACAAACAAATTCTGGTACAAACCCAGGGATATGCTGGGACATGTCTTCTGATTGTCAGCATTCGCTCTTAGCACTGCGAGCTCATCATCATAGATACTGGGGATATGTGTGGTATTTTCTCATGCCCTGTCAATCACATTGGTCCCGAAAACATCTAAGTCATGAGATGAGGAGATTGAGGTCTGTTGTGTGCCATGGAGACAACCGTCAGTAGCAAATCGTTTATGGTCATCATGGTTCCTTTGAAACTTCTTCGATATAAATTGACATCCTTCAGTTTGCGTAATGTTAAAAAAAAAGACGCAATAGTAAATAAACAGTAAAGACAATGGCACGGTGCATCAACTACTTGTCCAGACATTTCACCTTTAAAAAGTCATATGTTTTTACTACATAAAACTAATACTGAAAATAAATGAAAAAAATAAACTTGCATATTCTCCTTTAATCTGAAAGAGATGTGACGATAACCCAAGCTCACATAATCCGACTTCGGGTACTTCGCCAAACATCAATCGGTCACTGTTGTATTACATCCCTAACAAAATAAGGAGTGAGCATTATTTCAGCCATATAGCGTTGAGAACAAGATGATACATAAACAATTGAGTCATGAATTCAAAGTTATACTGAACCAAATTAAAAACTTCACAATCCTAAAATTTTAACATTTTGACAAGTTATCATTGTGGGCCCTTATTGTGTATTTAAACAGTAATGGCCACGTATTGTCTTCAGATAACACCCGCTTTTGTGCAGGTGAATCGATCAAAATCATGTGCACAGCACTATAGTGGCAAAAGTGGTTTTTCACGTGCAACTGGTCACGTGGCCATAATACCGAACGTGTTTTCAGCCATACTTGTTAGCAGTCATTAACAAAAAAAGAAAAACACAAGAAAACAAAAATCTTTACGGCCATTTGTCATGCCACGCCTTTCAAATGTGCAACGTGAACGTGCCTTCGGCATGTTGCAGACGGCAACGTCCGTAGCTGAAGTCGCAGGGACGATGGGTTGTAGTCGACGGACTGTTTATGATTTACAGACGCCTCGGCCAGGTCGACCACGTGTGACGTAACATGCAGAGGGTCGTCAGATTGTCTTACGTCACCTCCGTAACCGATTTTTGACGGCTACATCAACCAGAAATGAACTGTTTAGGGGTAGACTGAGTGCGCAAACTGTTCGAAACCGGCTGAGAACTGCTCACCTTCAAGCACGACGGCCATACTGCGGGCCCATTCTGACTCAATTACACAGACGTTAACGTCAATTGTGGGCACAGCGACACTTACGATGGACTCGGAGGAATTGGAATCAAGTCGTCTTTAGTGATGAATCCCGATTTAATCTTCGATTTGCTGATGGTAGAGCGAGGTTGTGGAGGCGCCGTCATGAACGTTACGCCCAGTGTTGTGTACAAGAAGTTGACAGATTTCGAGGCGGAAGTGTCATGGTGTGGGGTGCTTTCTGTGGCAATGCACGTTCCAGGCTTCTTGACATCCGTGGCAACCTCAACGCTGCTGCTTACCGCGACCAGGTACTGGCACCAGAACTTCTGCCTTTTATGGCAGCACATGGACCCGGTTTGATCTTCCAACGCGACAATGCCAGACCCCACACAGCAATTTGGACAAGGAATTTCCTTCAGAATGCGGGAGTCAACGTCATGGACTGGCCGTCAAGGTCTCCCGACCTCAATCCCATCGAACACGTCTGGGATGCTCTTGGCAGAAGTCTGCGCACTCTCCAGAACCAACCACAGAATTTGCAAGATCTTTGCACTATTTTGCAGCAACAATGGCGTCGTCTTCCCAATCATGTGTTCACAAGCATCACAAGGTCCATGCGGAGGCGTTGTGTGGCAGTTGTCAACGCACATGGTGGCCTTACACGCTACTGAACTTGTGTGCCATCAGATTCTCGTACTTGGGACTTATGATTTATACTGTTGATGTTTTTACCGAATACCGTAGGTGCTTGGAACAAATTATGGTTACCACAGTTAATTAAAATCCTTCGTTTGACTTTAATGATTAAAAATTACCTTCTTTGATACATTTGTCCGTTGTATATCATATATAGGATTACTTTTAAAAATGTGAAGTTATTAATTTGACTCAGTATATATTTAAAAACAAATGTGTCAAACATATACTATCATAACGATGTTATTCACAACTGTTTGCGGGCTATAAGCCACCAGCAACCAAAGCCAGCCTACCCTGCTGGGGACTTACGGTGTCTCAGCTTCCTGCATGATAACCCAAAAGGATTTACGTCATCAATTTCCAACTGGTGCATTTGCACAATAATAGCCAATAACAAATGCTCAGCAATGAATTGGCTTAAAACACTGGTTGATAATAGTTACATCGATTATGTTAGGAATGACGTGTCGCACAAGGGGGCTATACTTTTACAGTACTTTAACCTCCTGGCAAGAGTCTTCCATAAACTTTGTTGATAAAGGTATCACACCAAATTTTAAAACAAGCAATTAGTTGTAACAAATGTTATATTTGGGATAACACTTTCTCAGTAAAGTACAGATTCTCGTACTTTTTGGGTTGAGTCCCGTCCGGGACTCGAACCCACACTGCCAGTGTGAGACACATAATCTCCAGCACACAAAGTAAGCGAACTCACACACTTAGCCACCGAGGCTTCCACAAAAATGGAAGTCCGACAACTGGTAGTCTAGACCAAGTACTTTGTATACCCCTCTGACAAATGTCAGTTGGCACGGCCCCCGTGGCCGAAAGCTATGAACACACAATGCCATTTAGAAAGTGGTCAAATGTAAGAAATGTTATATTTGGGATAACACTTTCTCAGTTAATTACAGATTCTCGTACTTTGGGGTTGAGTCCCGTCCGGGAATCTGTACTGTTGTGTTTCTTTTTTGTTGTTGAACGCCGCTCTCAGCAATATTCCAGCTATATGACGGTGGTCTGTAAATAATCGAGTCTGGACCAGACAATGTAGTAATTGACAACATGAGTATCGATCAATGCAATTAGGATCGATGACATGCATCAAACCAAGTCAGTGAGCCTGACCACCCGATCCCGTTAGTCGCCTCTTAATTACGACAAGCAAAGTCGTCTTTTACGACAAGCGTGTGTTGTTGAAGACCTATTCTACCGCAGATCTTCACGGGTCTGCTGAGAAAGCGTTATCCCACTTATACTTGTTGATATACCAGAGGGTTTGTTTCGGAATATTTTTTAGCTGGATAGGAGTGAGGTTCACCTCTGGCTTCACTATCTGCCAGGGAGGAGAAGACAAAGTAGGTAGGGTGATATAATATTTATATATTTTAGATCGCATAGATGTGTGGTTAAATTTTGATTCCAGGTGGTGGAACCAGGTTTGACAAATTTCCTCATATTGAGGGTTGAAAACACAATTGTATGCTGGGTTTGATTGACTGGAATGTAATTTATTTTGTGATGTATTTCAGTGCTAGTTTAATGTGGCGTTGTTCGAGGGAAGGTTTACCAGCTTCCACATACAGACTGTCCAAAAAGCTCAAAGACAGAGCCTTAGGCCTTGGTGGTGTAACTTTTTCTAAATTGCTTTTGAAGGGTGTACCACAGACGATGGATCCATAGTCTAGTTTGGGGCGTATTAATTATCTGTACAAGTGAAGAGGGGTTGTCTGATTCCCTCCCCACTCGGAATTTGAAACGACTTTAAAAAAGTCGAGGGCCTTTAGGCACTTTGGCTTTAGATATTTGATGTGTGTTAAGAATGTGAGATGACTGTTAGGTACAGGAATTTGGCCTCCTCTACTAACTTGAAAGGAGTACTATGTAAAACTAAATCTGGATCCTTGCGAGGTAATTGTCTTTACCTTTCCACCTTATCACCTGGACTTTAAATAAACATAGCTCTTAAGAGATTAGGGGGGTGAGGTGGTTCAATCTGGTTCTAGTCCCGTCTTGAATCAAATTGTTTTGGGACATACGAACTGTGTGCTTAATTCCATACTTGTGTCACAAAGTGATAATTTTTTGCTGAGTTTATGGAGTATGAACAACTGTTGGAGCCAGGTTGGACACACGTTAAATCAGGGGGAAGAACAAGGGACCTTTTAAGTGAACCTCTCATGTTTGGTCAATCCAAGGAAATTCAAGGCTTGTGATTAAATGCTGAATGCGTATCAAAAATTTTAAGCCAGTGAGTATCCCTGATAAAATAATCAGATATAAAATAAAATGAGATGAACGATTACCTTGACAAATTGCAAACTGCCACGAAATCAAAATTTTAGATGTTCTATCATAATAGAAAGCATTTGTAGAATCATTTCATAATCATTATCATCTTAGACAATTTTTAAAGAAAAGTGATCAACAACCCCATCATGATAAAATACTCAAATGACAGATCTTGAGATCTACTGCTGATTACCTTTTGATAAGCTTCCGAGTGCACTAAGTTGGCATACCCTGGGCTGACAGTGAGATGTCGCTCTCTCATGAATCTCTCCTGGGGGACTGAAGTCGCCTCAGGCACGAAACGTGAGTGATAGGCTTAATGAGTTGAACAGAAGAAACAGGAGGAATATCACCTTACACAGGACACAGCGGATCGCCGAACAAACCTTCTTTGATATCTGACAGCTGTGGGACGAACATGTGTATTACATTTGTAAGTCCCTCTGTGTGCTTTTACACCCTGCTGCTCTGACTGCACCTTTCTTTGATGGATCTACTTTCAGACCTTCCGAAATGATCACATGTCCAAGGTATGTTTCTTCCATCTTCTTTCGGTATCTAAAAATAAATAAATTCTAAATCTCTATAGAATCAGTATGTATGAATCTATAAACCCGCTTAGAGCCCTATGCCCAGAAGGCGGTGGCTCATAGTTTCGGGCAATACCTCGTCTGACGAGAATACATCCATTCGATCTGACTATTGACTACGTTTTTCAGTAACTGAAGCATGTAACAAAGAACCAATCAAACTTAATCCTTTTGCAATCTCCAAAGGTATCGCTGGTATCTGCGGAGAGGTTTCAAATGTCACTTAACTTCGTTCCGGTTCAAATTTAAAAGAGTTTGTCAACATCAAGGTTGCTGTTTCTGAGCACAAGACACTGAACTCGTGTAAGGGCACGCTACCTGTCCGACATGACCGAAGAACAAATTGTCAAAGAACTTGTCCAACAGTCAGTTGTATATCCCCAATCAACTCCGGTGCTAAACCTGCCAATCGTTTCGGCATGGATCCAAGTCCTGCCATGTGAAGTGTTCAAACAGCGGTGGCAACAATGGCATCTTCCAAATCCTGCCCTTTGTGGCAAATTGAATTACAGATAATGAAAATCAAGCCGAATTTAATATTGGCTAGCATTGTGCACAATCATCAGTAGCTAAAATGATGACGTAAATCCATCAGGGGAATCAGGCAGGAGGCCGAGGTACTGTAAGTTCCCATGATCCCCAGTGAGGTGGCCCAGCTTTGGTTTCTGTTGGCCGTGTTTTAAAACTGTATATATGATATTGTTATGCCAAAAATATGTTTGATAAATTGTATTTATGATCTTTGTATTAATGTACAAACTGTGTATGTATCATCTCTATCTTGTCGCTATATGGCTGAAATAATGCCGTTGTGACGTTAAACTTTAACTCACTCACTCATACTCACACCACCGCTGTTCCTAGACCGCATCAAGCACATGGTTATGACATGCCAGTCGTTGAACACAAAGGTTGGCAACAGTACTTTAATAGTTATTGCACATCATTATTGTTTACTAAATACTGGTCTCTTTGTCGAGCGTATATTTTTTTGTTTTTGATGTCAGCATTTGGAGCAATATTAGAGCTATGTGACTGACGGCAAGCTGCGAATAAACACATGGGTAATGTTATCCTTTTATTGAACACAAGACGCATTTTATCTTCGCATATCTTATGTAATCAAAATATAAACTGCCTATTTGTCTATCTGTCACGTGACATGACTATGCAGTTAAAAAAGAGCAGGAAATAAACAACAACATTATCCAGTTCTACCTTCCTAAAGCAGACAGCCCGGGAGAGCAACAGCTTGATTGACATTTTCAATCACGAACATGGACATGGTTTACAAAAGAAGTAATTCCTATGCCAAATTTCGACCCATTTACATGACAATGAAGACGCTCAAAAAGTGTGGAAAAAACATGGAAAACGTTCAGTGACAATCTTGGTAGAACAGCGACGTTTCCTATTGCTCAAGTAAAATTATACATATTACTGGAACAGCTGTTTTTAAGAATCCCAAGCATTGAGGAAGAAATGAGTGATCATTCACTGTGCACAATATGTATGCAAACAAATGCAAACTATCGATTGATGTATGGGACGGAATGATGCCTGTCCCATTGTTACAATTCGTATGTAACATGTCTTTCGAGGGTGCAGTTTTGTTTGTTATTATTTGTATTATGTATCACTTAAATGGAAATATCATATCCAATTACTCTTTTTTTCAGCCAACCAATAAATGCCCTTCAACCAATTCTAAAGTAAAGGCAAGACGTGTGGATAAGATTTCAAGACTTGGATTCCCCCTAAGTTTCATTATCTTCAACATTGGATACTGGTTCATTTACGTCTATTCTGAGCAGGATTAGGGTGTTCGATTGTTGCAATATGTACCATAGTGCTTGTATATTGTAAGTCGGATACTGCTTATGGATTCCTATGGTTAAATTGATGTATCATGATTTGTCTTTGTGGTATTGAAACAAAACCATTGGCAGTCAGTTTAAACACCAGTCTGATTTTGAAACAAAGCAGAAACCCAATGTCAATTAAAGAATCTATTATGGTTTTATCTGATTTCTGGCCAAATTTTCGGGTGTGGTTGTTTTGTGCCATGAAACAAAAGCCACAATAACCCCATACATGGAATAACAAAGCTATTCGTATAGACTAAGTCTAGACATGTTAACCATTTTGAACTGTTTTCATCCTTTTCCTCATCTGAAGTGATAAATCGATGAATGTGACATACATACATATAGGAACGTGAACATAACTTTGTCACAGTTTCACAGTTTTGTAATATGCCTTTCTCTCTGACAGTTGTGTATTTGTCAGCTAAAAAGGAGGATTCATACATATGCTTAGTATTGTGTCACGGCGTTCATGTTGCATGTATGTCAGTATAACCTTCTTTAAATATTTATACTTGATTAATTAATTAGTGTTGTCTACGACGCTTTTATTTACTTCATCGTTTGGGGAGTAATCTGATTTGCCATATTTTTCGATTATTCATGCTATGACTTTCACCGAATTCTTTAGGACAAAAGTCATTTTAAAGTCATAAAACATCACCAGTTTGCTTGTTATCCTGCATACATCTGTTGTAACTGTCACAATTACTTGTCTTTGTGCACAGATTTACGCCACAATTAACAACATTTCACTTGTCAGCTCATTTTTTGTGTGTCAGCTTAATGTACACTCTCCGAAAAAGTAGTGGGTATCAAAAAGAGGTGTCGAGTGGTGGTACTGAATGGATAAGCAAAAGGAAGGACTAGGTGTAACATCAACAGAACATGTTGGCGGTGTCTTATAATACGAAATAATATTTTTTTCAGTTATAATAAAATATGATTTTAAGATGCTTGCATTTTCATGATGATATTATTAATTGCATGTATTAATTGTTTGCCGTTGTTTGCATCTCTCAGTCGAGGACGGGAGTCTCGTAGTTGACGCTGTTCAAAGAGTGTTTGCTCTAACACACCTTTTTGACCCCAGATCCCTAATGAGTGGTCATATGTGTCCGGTCCTTTAATTCGACCGGTGATGCACTGGCTTCGGATTTTGTTTTAAAAGGTGTAGTTTTGTTTGAAGAATACATGCAAAGGAAGCGGTAGCTCATGAGGCAAACTGAAAGAATCTCGCGTGTTCCTTCTTAATATCCCTGATGTCTCAGTATTACACCATGGGTAAAACATGACAGACATTACTGATATTTGCAGTGTGTCCCTATAATTTTCAGTCAATTCTGGCATTTGAATAGCTGTTTTTTTAGCTTAACATCTGTTTGTTATCAATAAGTGCAGAAATATTTAAAATTATATGTATTATTTCTGAGCTTACATGTTCGGATTCAATCCAAATCCAGCTCATATTTCATTGAAAGAACATTTGACACGAGACATGTTAGATAAAGTTGCACGAGAGGCAAGTTTACTTTAATAATGCATATCACAAAAAGAAAACTGCTTAGTTTGAAAATTTAAGACCACAAGGGGGGCCCAGTCGTCTAAGGCGCCGCGATTCGTTGGCAGAGTTGCGTCCCTTGGGCACGCCAGAAACGTATGATTGTGGGTTCGAATCCCGGCTCGCCCCGATTATGTTTCAAAATTCTTCGGCACCATACCCGTAATCGTGGGTTTCACCGAAGTGGTAAAGGTCTGAGACCTGCATCAACTTCGGGCTTCCCTCCCACATTAAGCTGACACGCCGTGATATAACTGGAATAATGTTAAAGGCGGCGTTAAAATCCGACTCGCTCACTAATGTTGTTATTGAATCATCAGATTTATTTGGAATAAATAAACACATTCTTTCGTCTCATGTTTTATCCAAAGCAGGGATTAAATTATTATATTTTATTAATGTTGAAGCCTTTTTTCTTCACACAACAATTAAAACATCAAGGCATCTAAGCATTACCAACCATGCATTTGGGCTCAGAGATTTAATTGTCAAGTGAAGAGGAGATGTGAACATTCGAATTATGATGGAAGACAAATTAGTAAGAACACAGAGCACAAAGTAGCACCCCATAAGTGACAGAGATTTTAAAGAAAACTAACATACACACGTGCCATCAATAATATTACTCTGTGGATGTGTGTGTGTGTGTGTGTGTGTGTCAGTGTAAGAATGGCTCTCTATGAAATAGGTAGACTTATAATGAATTGAATACCCATACAGAGAACTCGCTCTAATATACTATTAAGAGTATTAAAGAGGTTTAATGTGTTATAGTGTCAGTGACAAATTTCCCGGATCAAAATGATCATAACAAGGACATGCAAACCATTAGTCTGGAAACACGTACGATTCGGAACAACGCACACTGTGCTTTAACAAAAGGGCCATAGAGCTGCACGCACTGCACATGCAACAGAACTATGAACAGTATTAAGGTGCAGGGGTTTTGTATTGCCTGGCATCTGCGTCAATCGAACAGTGACAGTTCAACAACATGACAAGATTAACAGAAGTGCAAAGAAACAACGTCAAAGGCCGCTTGCAGGCAGGGGAATCCCGATCCGCTGTACCCAGTCGACAACATTGTCAACAACGACTGCATTGGTGTCGTTAACACAGGGTATGGCCTCGACTTCGATGGAGAGATGTCTGGTTCAACGAAGAATCAAGTTTTCTCCTCCGTCGAGGGGCCCGTAGAGCACGGATCTATAGACGTCGGGGAGAACGTTACGCCGGAAACTGTGTACGGGATGTGGACAGCTTTGGTGGGGGTAGCGTTATGATGTGGGCAGCTATCTCTCATCATGGCAGGACAGGTTTGGTCCATATCCAGGGCAATCTTACGCAATCAACGGTACATCAACGAAATTCTCCTACCACCAGTCCTCCCAATTGCAGCTAACGGCAACAGTGTATTCCATCAGGACAACGCTCGACCTCATACATCACGGATCACAAGAGCCTGTCTACACAACAACGTTTATTTTCACCCCTGGCCCTCCATATCCCCGGAGTTGAAGCCGATAGAGCACTTGTGGGATGAATTGGATAGACAGCTACGCCGACGTCAACCACAACCAGAGACGTTGCATGGTAGCTGACCTTCACCTTAGACTTTTCCTATATACTGATAACTAGGATGACTACTAATAGAGGCCTGGCTTCAATCTTTTTGTAGACAGAGAATATGACCCGGCGACAACGGGAGGCAGGAGACGTGGCATCTAACAGAGGAAATACGTTCATCTCTGTCAGTTTACGTATTGTCAGTGACAAATGTCAGCGCGCTTGTGGCAATGTAAAACAAATCATTTTCGATATTGATAATTTGGTCTTCGGAAAACGAGGTATTTTGTTCACATTTTGGAAAAAATCAAATTATGATATATATATACTGAGTCAAATTAAAAACTTCACATTTTTAAAAGTAATCCTATATATGATATACAACGGACAAATGTATCAGAGAAGGTAATTTTTAATCATTAATGTCCAAAGAAGGATTTTAATTAACGGTGGTAACCATAATTTGTTCCAAGCACCTACGGTATTCGGTAATAACATCAACAGTTTAAATCATAAGTCCCAAGCACGAGATTCTGATGGCACACAAGTTCAGTAGCGTGTATGGCCACCATGTGCGTTGACAACTGCCACACAACGCCTCCGCATGGACCTTGTGATGCTTGTGAACACATGATTGGGAAGACGACGCCATTGTTGCTGCAAAATAGTGCCAAGGTCTTGCAAATTCTGTGATTGGTTCTGGAGAGTGCGCAGACTTCTGCCAAGAGCATCCCAGATGTGTTAGATGGGATTGAGGTCGGGAGACCTTAACGGCCAGTCCATGACGTTGACTCCCGCATTCTGAAGGAAATTCCTTGTCAAAATTGCTGTGTGGGGTCTGGCATTGCCGTGTTGGAAGATCAAACCGGGTCCATGTGCTGCCATAAAAGGCAGAAGTTCTGGTGCCAGTACCTGGTCGCGGTAAGCAGCAGCGTTGAGGTTGCCACGGATGACAAGAAGCCTGGAACGTGCATTGCCACAGAAAGCACCCCACACCATGACACTTCCGCCTCGAAATCTGTCAACTTCCTATACACAACACTGGGCGTAACGTTCATGACGGCGCCTCCATACCCTCGCTCTACCATCAGCAAATCGAAGATTAAATCGGGATTCATCACTGAAGACGACTTGATTCCAATTCCTCTGAGTCCATCGTAAGTGTCGCTGTGCCCACAATTGACGTTGACGTCTGTGTTATTGAGTCAGAATGGGCCCGCAGTATGGCCGTCGTGCTTGAAGGTGAGCAGTTCTCATAACGGGTGTTATCTGAAGACAATACGTGGCCATTACTGTTTAAATACACAATAAGGGTCCACAATGATAACTGGTCAAAATGTTAAAATTTTAGGATTGTGAAGTTTTTAATTTGGTTCAGTATATATTTTCTTTACCTTTCCACCTTATCACCTGAACTTTAAATAAACATAGCTCTTAAGAGCTATTAAAGAAAGCTTTCATTAGATGCATGACATGGTGATTTTATTTGTATTCTAAAATGACAAAAATACAAGTATGCACGTGTTAATTTTAACGCACAATTGCTTCCAAGATGAAATAGAATGGCTGACTCAAGCTTTTATGATTTGTTTCACATAATTAGATTTCTTGACCCTGAAAACATAGGTAAAGACATCAAAAGATTAAATTTTTCTGTGTTATATGTTCAAAGTTTGAATGGAGAAAGTTTTCTAAATGGCCACCTGGGTCGTAAGAGGTCAAATCTGGTTATTGTCCCGTTTTGAATTAAATTGTTTTGATACATAGGAACTGTGTGCTAAATTCCATGCTTGTGTCACAAAGTGATAAATTTTTGCTGAGTTTATGGAGTATGAACAACTGTTGGAGCCAGGTTGGACACACGTTAAATCAGGGGGAAGAAAAAGGGACCTTTTAAGTGAACCTCTCTTGTTTGGTCAATCCAAGGAAATTCAAGGCTTGTGATTAAATGCTGAATGCGTATCAAATTTTTTAAGCCAGTGAGTATCCCTGATAAAATAATCAGATATAAAATAAAATGAGATGAACCATTACCTTGACAAATTGGAAACTGCTTTTGAGACGCCATCAAATCAAAATTTTAGATGTTCTATCATAATAGAAAGCATTTGTGGAATCATTTCATAATCATTATCATCTGTGACAATTTTTAAAGAAAAGTGATCAACAACCCCATCATGATAAAATACTCAAATGACAGATCTTGAGATCTACTGCTGATTACCTTTTGATGAGCTTCCGAGTGCACTAAGTTGGCATACCCTGGGCTCTCTCCTGAATCTCTCCTGGGGGACTGAAGTCGCCTCAGGCACGAAACGTGAGTGATAGGCTTAATGAGTTGAACAGAAGAAACAGGAGGAATATCACCTTACACAGGACACAGCGGATCGCCGAACTAACCTTCTTTGATATCTGACAGCATGTGTATTACATTTGTAAGTCCTTCTGTGCTTTTACACCCTGCTGCTCTGACTGCACCTTTCTGTGATGGATCTACTTTCAGACCTTCCGAAATGATCACATGTCCAAGGTATGTTTCTTCCGTCTTCTTTCGGTATCTAAAAATAAAATTCTAAATCTCTATAGAATCAGTATGTATGAATCTATAAACCCGCTTAGAGCCCTATGCCCAGAAAGCGGTGGCTCATAGATTCTGACAATACCTCGTCTGACGAGAATACATCCATTCGATCTGACTATTGGCTACGTTTTTTAGTAACTGAAGCATGTGACAAAGAACCAATCAAACTTTATCCTTTTGCAATCCCCAAAGGTATCGCTGGTATCTGCAAAGAGGTTTCAAATGTCACTAAACTTCGTTACGGTT